TGAACCAAGGGATCTTTCCACGGAGGAAATCGTTGATGACCATCTTGGCAACACCGTCGAGATCAGGCTCTCCACCACGTAGGAGGCGACCACCCTTGCGGGCAAGGAGACTGAGGAACTCGATGGGGTCGTCAGTGCGCTTGATACCGTAGGTACGCTCCAAATGCTTGGGCTGAACACGCTTGAGAATAGCTGGAATGTACTGCTCAGGGTTCTCTACGTTCTCCACACGGACGACACCACGGAGAAGAATATCCTCAGGAGAGTCATTCGGGTTTGGAGGAACAACACCAGGGCAATCGATGAGGTAGATCCTCTTCATCAAGGTAACGTACTGCCACACCTTGGTTTCACCCGGAATAGGAGCCACAGTGCACACCTTCTTCTTGCGCAAGGTGTTAATGACGGAAGACTTTCCAGTGTTGGGGTATCCAATGAATCCCACGGAGATCTGCTTCCGGTCTGAGTGCAAAGAAGAAAATTGTCTCAGTAGCTGGATCAACGAGCCCTTTCCGAAGGAGTTGTTGATAGAAGCATGGAAAGCCAAGGTAGGATAATCCTTAGAAAGGTGGCGAACCCAAGCAGCCTGGTGTCACGTTAGCAGCTGAACACCAGCGTTGCTATCAGAGTATAGCATAGTAAAACAAGAAAACACATAAAGAAGAAAAGAATCAAAAGTATGATGACAGGATGTGTGAAATGTTACTAAGAGACCTGCTATGATGCCACTTCAAGAGCGGAAGCAGGACTCAACTCAAAAACAGAACACAGCTCGGTCCTTAACGATCGGCTTTCAAAACGAAAACCAATCAGCCTAGCTTCAGAAAGAAGGTCGGCGCGGACCAGCGTCAATCTGCCAAAGCTGTAACAGACAGTCTCCCATAGCGAATAGCGCGACGTGAAGTCGCAGGAGGCGCCTTGACTTAGCGATGGCAACGGCGAAGGGCCGTATTGTAGATCAAAGGAAAAGGGGAAATTGCAATGAGAGAAAGAAAGCGAAGATAGACTTACCGCCACACCTGTAGGTACAAGATCGCACTTGTTCAGGACGAAAATCAAGTGCTTGTGAGGAGCCTCCTCTCGGATGTACTTCTCAATACTCTTGCACCGTGTACCTTCCGGATCACGAGCATCAAGGAGATGGATGACAACATCGGAGGAATCGATGACCTTGTAGAGCTCGTTCCAGATACGCTTACTCTGTCCCTTAAGGAAGACAGCCTCCTTCGCGATGGGTGCGACACTAGAGTCTTCCTCTACTGCGACATCATCACCATTCACCACCATAGTACCATCTTCATAAGTAGCATGGTCCGACTTCTCAACAAAGGCGTCGTGCATCTTGGCGGTCTCGCCAGCCAGATCCGCAAGCGACGAGACACCCAACTTGACACGTTTCCTCTGAGCCTTGGGCCCGAAGGTGTCACTGAAGGGGTTGTTCTCGATGGCCATCTTGGCCTGGTGCTGCTTCAGCCCATTCACACCCTTGTCATCTCTGATCAGGCTCATGGGAAGCTTGTTGGTCTTGAGCAAGACGGAATACGGATCAGAGGCACGTTCAGCGACCGCCTCACGGAAAGAGGACAGAGCCTCTTGCGAGATCACTCTGGTGTTTCCAAACCATTTACGGTTGGGTTCAATCCTAGCGACGGGGGCGTCTCGAGACTGGTACGAAGCAGCCTTGGTGATCTTTCCTTCAGCGTTACGTTGGGGTTTACCATCCTTGAGCATATTCAAGGTCCTCAACTTCTTCGCATCTCTTCCAGAAATCAGTACACATATCCAGGACCATCTGTCGTAAGGAGAATACGAACCTGTAAAAGTTTTCACCCTTTACCCGGACGTTCCCCATGCCATCTCCAGTCTTCCCCTGCCGCTCTTTACGAGTGGCTTCCTTCTTAAAGGTACCCATTGTGCAGGTAAGCGCTCAAGGCACCTCAAAGAAGAATAATATGAAAAAATATCAAAGATAAAGTGTCACAAAAAAGAAATGGCGGAGCGCAAAGAGGGAAGAGAAAGAAAGGAAAAAAGTTTCGAAGCGCGGGAAATTATTTTTTTCTCCAAAGGCGGGCGCCAAGCTAAGCGGTGCACGGACCAGGCGCAAGAAAATCGCTTCGTCCTCGTTCGACTCCCGCAATAGCACCGCGCAGGCCATCAGCCATCTCACCCTCCTGTGCTGGTCCTCGATCCGAAGTAGACCGGCTACCTGGTCTCTATCAATTCTTTTTATTCCATCCACTAGTCACCAATCCTGCTCCGCCCCTCTCCTCGAGCAGACAGACACTGTTTACCATGTCTCTTTTCCGCAATTGCAGGGCTGCCACCGTGCAGTTCCGCGGCTTCACCTCATCCTCCTGTCTGCGGGTCGGCCCCGAGTCTCCTAACTTCGTCGAAATCCCTCAACCCATTCAGCCCGATCTTCCCTCGAAGCCCCGCGTCAAGGGTACCCTGCCTGTCCCCCGAGAACTCTTCCCGGCCCGCCGCAAGGACAAGCCGACAGAGGCATACATCAATGCGGCGACACCTCTTCCGACTAAGGAGACCAATTTGGACCCCAATGACCCCAACACCGAATACATTGAGTGGAAGAAGCGCATGGCGGAGATGAGACGCAAGAACCTCCGCGAAGGTCTCCTGGAACTACACACCCGGAAGCAGCGGACGGACAAGGCCATGATGCAGCGGAGTTTGGAGAAGCAGAAGCGTCGGGACCGTATCCTCCGCCAGCCTGAGAGAGAAGACCAGCGGTTGACCCGAAACTCCGTCATTCAGGACATGCTACCCAAACATACCGCCGTGCTGCCGGATCCTGACCGCGAGACCCGCCTGGCTGAGTCCAAGGCCCGCCTCGAGTACCAGCAGGCTGTGAAGGAGGCCGAGCGTCAAGACAACCTGCAAGAGCTGTACATGAATGCTCGGAACTTCATTACCACAGAGGCTCAGCTTCTGGCTGAGATTGAGCGGGTCTTCCCCGAGGGTGAGAACGAGGCCTGGCGCAGTGACCACCAGGAGGGCGAGAACATCTGGAACTTGGGTGTGCCCCCTACTGTCCAGGGAATTGTCAACGAGACCAGGAAGAGCGAGACCGCTCGCTGGGACGTCATCCAGAACAGAGTCAAGCAGCTGGGAGAGCAGATCACTGGTGGCAAGCTGTGAGCCCATGTATTTATTTAGACGGTTGTACATTACACTATTTTCTTTATCCTAGTTCGGTTTCATTTCTTCTGTTTTGTCATGCAATTTATTGGTTTATACTAGCTTTACCTGTTTGTATACCTATTGTACCTGAACGAATTGAACAATCTCAGTCATATAGCTTTTCCGAGTGCTCAAAACCTGTCACAAAACGCCATCGCTATGCAACACAAATGCCTAAACGCCGCACCCAATATTATAACGACCCAAATCCAGAAGCTCTATCAGCAGAGGGAATCAGAAATCATAACCATAGGTCAGGAGCTGGCTTCTGGAGCGCCTGCACTTGAGACAGCCGCCAAGGCAGCACCTTCAGTAGCCACAGGTCTGGAAATACCCATCGTACTTGTAACCTCTCGCTTTGACACTTCCTCATCAATGAAGCACCCAAGACCTGCAAAGGCCTCCATCAAAGTACGCGAGTAGTATTCTTGAAGGTCGTATCCACCGGCCTGCATACGAGTGTCCTGGCGAATAGGGTCGAGGTAGCTGTTCGGGTAATGGTCGCGCAGAGTATAATAGTCCCTCTTGTTGGGAATGAGGCCACCAAAAGGATCGTAAGGCTTTTCAGGCTCGGGCGTCTTGATCTTCTTGAGACCCTTGATCAGACCAGAATCACCACTTTCATCTGCCCTGTCCGCCGTGGTGAGGGCACCCTGGCCGGCCTTCCTGGCATCGGAATTACGCAAAGCAGCTTGCTTTTGTCGGATGCGGTCTTCTTCACTACGACGAGCAGAAGATTTCTTGAGCAACACCTTGTGGCCTTCGCGGGCGATAGCCGCTGCGTCGCCAGGTCGACCTGCCGCAAGACGACTGAGGACATCTTCTCGACCGGCAAGCATTTCCTTCCGCTCATTCTCATATTCCAGTCTAGCTGCCTCTCGCCGAAGACGTGCCAGTTCTTGTTCGTGTGTCTGTTGCTCTCGGAAGGACGAGGCCTCTTGTGCTTCGAGGGCTTGGTTCGCGCGAATCGAGCGCATGTTGTCTGCAGCATATCTTTGCAGATCGCTTTCCGTCTTCGCCACATCTGTTCCATGGACAAGGTTCGCTATTATCTCTTCGCGTTGTTCTAGGAAGTCATCGTAGGCTCGTTTCGAATCAAACTCTTCTTCGCGGCGGTTGAGACTAGAGGGGAATTAGTGGTCATTTCTGGGCCTAGTGGATTATCTCGTGGCGTACATCTGCATCACTCTGCGCCGAATGTCCACCTCCCTTTCCACATTGATATCCTCGAATGTCTGCTTGCGAAACCGGTTCTTGCGCAGAGTCTTGTGACAGCCCGCCACAGGACAGTTCGCGGGACCTGAGGAGAAGATCCGGTCCACGCAGGACTCGCACATCTTGTGGTAGCATTCGGGATTGATGAGAAATCGCATGTCTGGGTTCAGATACCGCGAGGATTTGCAGACAGGGCACACCTCTGCTGACAGTCAGTGTATATTCAAAAGGGTCATGGGAAGTAGATTTACCGTCGTCATCCCCCCGGTGAGCCATGATATCACGAGCAGGAGGCATTTTGAGGGTCACTGCAGCTCAAAGAGGCTCTGGACAGCACAGTATGTGAGGCACGCGACAGGTTGGGAGAAAGAACAATTGACGGTGATTCCTCAGTGGCATGGAAGGTTGATAATCCAGCTGCGTGCACGGGCCAATCATGTTCTGTTCTCCGCTCTTGTTCCGCGGCGGAACTTTTTCTTTGCCGCCGCCTTCCTTCTCTTTCTGTCCGGACTCTCTCCCTCCTAGTGCACTTTTACACTCCTACTGAGCGGCTGCTTTCCCCAGATATCTCTCAACATACTCTAGAAATGGGCGTCCCAAATAACAGCCTGCATGAGCTGGAGCGCCAGCGCCTCGAACTCGAGGGGAACATCTCGAAGCTACAAGATTCCCTCTACCACTGGAGGACGTGGGAGGCCGAATACGATGGCCTCAAAGACGAGATGAACGAGCTGGACGACGATGCGACAATGGATGACTACCTCCGAGTAGGACGCGACTTTGGTGGCTCCCTGGTCAATGAAGAGGAGGTTAAAGTGATTTTGGGAGAGAAACAAGGCGTGACGCGAACCAAGCAACAGGCGGTTGATTTGGTAACGAGGCGAATCGACTACGTGAAGCAAAATGCGTCGACTATAGAGAAACGGCTACGTGCGGCAGAGGATCAACTGTACGCGCTCGACTCCCAAGATCGGTTACCGGTGGAACCTACGGCGGACTTTCCTATGACTGAGATTTTCGAAGAACTCGATGAAAATGGCGACATTATTTCAAGCAAGACAACCACACCCGGCAGCGAGGCCACCGATCTTTTGGAGGTTTTGAAGAAGGCTGGTGTGAATGATATACCTGATGTGGCTAAGGCCGATACGCCAGTATCGAGCTCGTCTCAGCAAGTCACTCAGACTACGGAGGAGGCGTCTTCCGCAGATAGTCTTGGTAAAGACGATAAATCCGCCAGCGAGGAGCCCTCCGCCAAATCCTTGGGAAGCGATGCCAAGGAGACAAGCTCTGCGTTAGACCCGACCGTCGAAATTCATGGCGAGCGTCCTGTTATGGAAGTCGACGAGTCTCCGGAGGATGCTAAATTACGCCGTGAGATGCTCCAGTATAGTTTGAACGAAGTCGGGTCTGTCGTGGCGGAGCTTGAGTTGGACGAAGACGCAAGTGATATTTCTGTCGATGAGGACTATGACGCTTATGATTATGACGATGACGAAGATGAAGAGGAGGACGAATACGGAAGGAGCACTAGGCGTGTTTTGAGCGAAGACTATCACCGTCAGATGCGCGAGCTGGAGGAAAAGCTCAATGCTCGGGGAATGTGGAATGCCGGAAAAGACACGCAAACGCTCCCGAACGAAATCAAGCAGGACCTAGATCAGCCCAGTGTTGTTCGTCTCGAGAATAAGGCAGACACGAGTAGCGAGCCAGTCAAAGAAAAGAAACCGAAGAAGAAGGTTGCTTTTGCTGACGAACTCGACATCGCTCCGGCTTCCAAGCCTCCGGTTGTGGAGAAGAAGGTCGCTCCGGTCCGAGAGTCTAACGTGCCTGTTCTTCAGGATGCTGTTGTTGAACGCACAGAACCTGCTCGGAAAGAATCTGTGCAGAGTGACGCCCCGAAGAAAGTATCCCGGTTCAAGAGTGCCCGGAAAACCAACAACGCAATTGAAGACGCCACTGCGTCAATAACCCAACCTAGCAACACTTCTCGACCTGCCGAACCTCGCTCGGCTCTACGCAAGACTGAGACATCTGCCACTGGGCCATCTCTACCTCTGTTCCCTGCGAAACCAGCGGAACCCAAGCCCTTCTCCCAGCCTATCTCCGACATCGTGGAGCAAGAAGACCCTACACCCAGGGGCCCCGAGGGGAAGATTCTTGCCGATACGCTCGTTGAACGGGAGACCCCAGCAGGTCCAGCAGTAGCACCAGAGCCCGATGAGCTCGACGAGCAGCTGCATAAGAAGGAGATTGCAACAGAGTTCTACAAGATCCGGAACCGCATGATCCAGCAAAATGGCGGCTTCGTAGGCGAGGAGCCGGAAATTGTGCCAATTGAGACTGAGGATGCGCCCAAACGGGTGAGCAGGTTCAAAGCTGCCCGCATGAGGTAAGACTCAGATAGAACGAAACCCAAACAGATACCCAATATATACCGATGCACCTATGCATGATACTGCGACATTTTCATTCTCCCATTGTGCCGTAGAAAGGACCGAAACCAAGGTAGTCTTTACCTTGGCATGACTATACCGCTTTCCCATGGTATCGTCATTCAAAGTTCGAAGTCCAAGAATGAAGAATAGGGCTCTCTGACTGTGCTTCCGTTACTGGGTGTATTGGGCTCAATTGAGTACTTACGGCCAGTTACAGATGGAGACATGGTTACGTTTCACCCTCGACATACTACACATATATATACCATGAACCTCAAACTCTCTGTAATAGTGGTTGTGGCAATAGTCTAGGTCCAATCTGAACCATGTACCTGGATAACGTAAAGACTTCTGCATTATGTCCAGTTTCCATGGGATGGGGTAGAAATAAGCGCTTCTTCTCCGCATTTAAGCATCTATCAATGATACCCAGATACTACCTGATATCCAAGTCAATAAGCACGGAGACTTCCAGCCACAAGTGTGAACCGGTGGTTCATCTATGTGGCTTTACAAGCAACGTCCATCCATCTATCTGTTTCAGCATGTGAACAATAAATTGAGCTTTTCCTTTCCCCTCATGACTTCTTTTCCCGCTAGGTAAAAGACGCGACAGGGTTTCACAGCATCATAATAATGTTTACATCATAAACAGATCATTGATGGCTGCTTTTAGTTCAATGGTTATCGGGGCAGACCGCACGAAGATCCTAGGGATTTGAGTGATCAGCATCCATTACTTGATGAAGTAGTTATTTATTTATTTATTTACGTCAGATACACCCTGGCTAGCTGGCTGTTTGGCCCAGAAAAAGGAAACTGCTCTATTACATTATAATTTCAGAGTCGATCTGGGCTGCCTGATCGATCGTTGGTTGCTTAGGGACTCGATGAGGTCAAGACTGGGCAGCTGGACTTTAAAATGAAGATCGACATGGAAATGATGTGCTGTACTTGATTCTGACAGCTCTAGTTCAACTCAACCAGCTTGGATCGTGTGAGACACTGGTGGACGTGCGCATTACATTATTGTTAGTCAAGGGAATCACTAATTGATTGTTAACTGGTTTAACTTGAGCTATGTTGGGGTTGTTGTTGTCCAACCCCGGCATGTCCGACGAAATCAAAATTTCGCGAGTCCTGCAGGCATCCATCTGTGTCTTGTCATTTGGATCGTTTACAGAATGCTTTGCATAAGCATTATTCCGTCCATCCGTCCGTCGGACCGATCCCTCACTGAATGAAGGGTAAAGAGAGGGGAAGAAAATCGTAGAAAATTCGAACTGTGGATGTGTCCATTGTTCGGAGCATTGTGCTGCTGGTTTACTGTGAAGGTCTGGAATCGAACAGGTCGAGGGATAACCCACTTGTTTGCCCATCCTGGACACATGGATGGTGGGCCAGCACATAACTCACTTAACAGAGCAGAGAGGGATCAGAGTTTAGGTGGATTCTAGCCAACTGTCTAGACCTTGATTGACCGTTGTTAGGTGAGGGTGTACGTAAGCTTCTACAGAGTGCAGTGCGGGGATTTGGTCTGCAAAGTGCCCCGTTCTCAACGGCTTTGCTTTTGATGAGATTGGAATTTTGAGGATCGTGAATAGGTTGTGAGAGAGTGAAAATGTGATAGGGAACCCCTGGAGGCCCAATGGGACTGCTTTGACTGAGAAGTCGTGTTTCAGGATGGACTGGTTATATGGTTCGAACCAGAGTTCGATGTTCAAGAGATTGAGAAATGCTGAGGTGGGGAGATAAGCATGGAGCCAGGATGGGGCGGGTTTACTTACGACGCACTGCAGAAGCGCGACGGAGAATCTAATCGTGTTCCGGAGATGTAATGGAGAATAATAATATAGGAAAGTAATATTAAAAATGGCTAAAAGAGTATAGACTGAAATCGATCGCGCAGCCATCCAGATGCCGGCGAAGCTTATAGGGCACTGGCGGCCAACAGGGCTGCGTTGCCCACCTGTCAGATGGACGCCAATGACACGAGGCTGGTCAGGCCGGAATCCTGGGATTGTGTTGCCGTTGACCGGGTTGTTTCTATATATGTACGGCTCATAGTATATCTGTTTGTGTATCGTTTGTTGACACAGTTGATCATTATCGTTTGGGTAAACACTTAGGCAACCATGGCTGCTACTATTGTCCCATGGAGGCAGATTGGTTATTGTTCAGGGTTGCCTAGAACCGGTCTTTGGTTCATATTCAGTTTCTTTTTCCGCTCTGCTTTCTCGGGAAGGAAAGGCAGCGAGCCAGGCATAGGGTCAGTAAGAATTCCCCATGACGTGGCGCAGTGGCTCGGGTGGTGTATTGCCGGCAGACGAGAGAAGGAATAGGACGATGGATCCTGGAAGCCTCATGGAAGCTGGATGGAGGAAGTCCAGCGAGGCTGGCGTCATCCCCCACCCGCGGATACGGATTTACTATTGTTCCCGGTGGACTGGGTTCTGCCGGGTTTCTCCGACTTTCCCAAAGAGTAGAATGATAGTCCCTCATCTCCATTTTAATGACTATTCTCATCGAATAATCAACTCATCAATAATCCACCATGCCAAGGATTATTCCATCATGACATGCAGTCGCTCGTTGTACTGCTGCTACGCGGGCTATGCTGTTTCCCAAGCGAGATCCAAAAGCTGCTCACCGAGTTCCTAAGCAACACATCCAAGGCAAGAGTCAACGTCAACCGCATCCCCCTACTCCGCACTGCACGTCGTATATGCTTCGAGTCCAAGCCCTTCTGAGCATAATGCAAGGCACCCTTCCCCGGTTAATCCCAGGATTCCCATCCTTCCCTGTTGTTAGGCCGTGATGGTGGCTATAGCTCCCTCTCCACATCCCTCCGGACTTACGCGGACTATGCTTGATACTTGCACTCAGTATTGATTGCTTATGTCGAGCATAGAGCATTGTCGCTTACCTTGCGTTCCCGGTTTTCCGCTGTGAGCGATTATGAATAGAAGCAGGCCCGTGGGTGTCCTACCCATGTTCCTTGTATGGATAACAACAATGCTCGCTATGTATGGCTGAATGGCGTGTTGTACCGTGGGTGGCATTGCCATCTCGCCACCGGACTCGCAATAACCCGCCTGAGTCCATGAGTCCGGAAGGTCTTGACCAGGGCAGGGTTCCCGGCCGATCCAAAGGCTGCTCGATGGGGCTGGGTCCACAATTGGCTTGTGCCCTGCATCGCCCGAGCCACTGATACCGCTTCTATCTTACAGCCAACTTCCAGATCGGGTGTTTTTCATAGAATTGCCCCCTCCATAAGGCCCAATGCTCATGACGTCTGCTTTCATTGCTCCTTCAATCCCGAAGCTTCCAGGCCCGGCGTTGTCGGACAACTTGCAGCTTGTTTATTCGCTGTCCGGTGGTGCCTAGCGGGATCAACAGTGGCCCTCCATGTTTCTTTTCCATGGTCAACTGCCAGTCCAGCAGAAGCAATGCAACTGGCTGAATGTCTGTTTCTATTTTTTCGAACTGCTGTGCTGTGGAGGTATGCGTGTTGACTCTGTCCGGTTTACCACCGGCAATTGCCCATGACGTGCCTTTTATGTACCCACTATAGTTTATAAATATTGAGCGTACCCTGGGTTTTTCGGCTTGCTTGTTAGTTTACCCCGGCCAATAACTCTTCCAAAAACAATCTTTATCCTTACATCGCCCTCAATCCGTTCGCTTGCTTTCTAGCTGTCGCCTACTTTCGCTTTTGCAAGTATGAAGAACGTTGCGACCCTTGCAGTCTTCGCTGCTGGGGCTAATGCCCTTGTTGGCCGGAGCGACTCTTGCTGCTTCCACCTGACAGCTTCTGGTGATGCTTCTGGCACCATTGGCCAGCTGGGTGATGGTCAGAACCGCATCGGTGGTGGACTTCCTGCAACCCAGTTCTGCATTGACTCCAACGGTGGCATCACTGACAGCAGCGGACGCGGTTGTGTTGTGACTAGTAAGCTATCCACATATGAATTATACCGGGTATGTTACTAACCACAAATCCCTGACAGGCGAGACCACACAGTTCCAGTGTGACTTGGGTAAATCTCCTATGTCGGGTTTCTCCATCACCTCTTCTGGTGAGCTGGAGTACAACGGTGACGCCGATTTTGTTGCCTGCCAAACTGGCGACAACAATGAACTGAACCTTTACACCACTGAGAACTCCTCCGTCACTGGCTGCGAGAACATCAAATTGACGGCTGATTCCTGCTCGGGCTCGGGTGCTGGCTCTGTTGGCTCCAGCTCTGCTCCGGCTTCGACCCCCGCCCCTCAGTCCAGCCAGCCGGCTCCGGCTCCGTCTTCCAGCGCTCCAGGTGTCCCTGGCGCTGGTGCGTCGACTAGCTGGGTTCCTGGTGGTCCTGCCTCCAGTGCTTCCGTGCCCTACGGTCCTGGTCCCCAGTCGAGCGGCGTCGTGCAGGTGACGACTGTCTATGTGACCGAAACCTACTGTGGCGCTGAGTCTACTCCTGTGGTCTCTGTTCCTGGAGAGACTACTGTTCCGCTGGTTCCCGTTGGACCCGGGTCTTCTGCTCCCGCTGGTTCACAGCCGGCCCCCTCGGGATCCCCTGCTCCTCAGCCATCCGAGACTCCATCCTACCCTCAGTCGTCCGAAAGCCCTGCTCCTCAGCCTTCGGAGACTCCTTCATACCCCCAGTCCTCGGAGTCCCCGGTCCCCCAGGCTTCTGAGACCCCTGCTCCTCAGCCTTCCGGATCTCCGGCTCCCCAGCCTTCTGAGAGCTCTTACCCTGAGACCTCTGGCACTCCTGCTCCTCAGCCATCCGAGACTCCTTCTCCTGAGACCTCTCAGACCCCTGCCCCTCAGCCTTCCTCCTACCCTCAGACCTCTGGAACTCCTGCTCCCCAGCCGTCTGGCACTCCCTCTTACCCCCAGACCTCCGCGTCTCCCAGCAGCGCTCAGCCTTCTGGCACGCCCACTCAGTCTTCCTCTGCCAGCTGCCCCACCGATCTTTCTGGCGACTATGAGTACCCTCACCTGATCGTCCCGATCAACTCTTCCACTCCCGACACCGCCTATGGTACTCAGTACTTCGGTACCGTCTCCTCCACTGTCTCGACCATCTTCAACTTCGACATCCCCTCTTCGGACTCTGGAAAGACCTGCAGTCTGATCTTCCTGTTCCCTACCAAGGATCAGCTCGAGACCTCTGACTACACTTTCAGCGGAGACGGCAAGGTTGACTTCTCCCAGCTCGAGTCTGCTGCTAGCGAGTCGACTACCTACAACAACGCTCCTGGAGTCAAGCAGGACTACGGCGACTTCACCCTCTCGCCTGGCAACTCTTACCTGATCTCGACTTTCTCGTGCCCGGCTGGCCAGACTGTCAGCTACGAGATGAAGGAGGCGGGTAGCACCTACCTCAACTTCTTTGAGGACTACAACCCCTCTCCGTAAGTGTATCCCGTGACATCTTCTGTGAACTACTGCTAACTAAACATCTAGTCTCGGTCTGTACATCACGGTCTGCTAAGCTCGTCAGACATAGCGATCGCATCCGGCAACGCGAACATGATTAATGGACCCGTTATGTTCTCTATTTATTGATTTTTATTCCCTTTAGTTTAAGACATGACCATTCCTTCTTTTGATACTTAACCGGGTGCCGGATACGGTCTCTGACCGGAGAAAATATGGATATTGGAAATACAAAATTGGTTATATCAACGATAATTCTTTGTCAGCTAGTAGTGGTGTATTATAAGCTACAGCTCTTGGGTCTAATTACATTAATCAAGTATGCCTATCAGACATTTGATACGAATCTGCGTAGTATTGCCTTTATTGTGTTTGAAGTTCTTAATCCGACTCAGTTGTATACATTTATTCAGCAAGATCCCGAAAAATTGATCAAGTCAGACACATTGAAGAAAAAGAAAAGGTCGAAGATTACGAAGCACACAGGTCATCCAATCCCATTGTGAATACCAACAGTAACCCCATGACCACATTCCATTGCACATAGTATTATTAAGTTAACATCGTAGATCCCATCTATTTCCACGAAAACGTGGATTATGCAGGGTAAGCCGTACTAAGTGGACACGAGACCCCGGCCCACATCATATTATCCATCACTGCTTGTTCTACCCACCCAGGCAGCACAGTTTCCCTTCGCTTACTGTGCACAATCCATAAAGCACTATTAGTTAGCATAAGCACAAATTTGTATGCTATCTTTCTCTATCGGCCCGGACTCAGGATATACAAAGGGTTTGCGATGGGTCTGGTCCCTATGGAAACTGATCCCTTTCGCTACAACGTTATCCGTCAACACCCGGCTCGAGACACAATTCTCCACTCCACTGGGTGGATGTTATGGAATTTTTCTGCTGCTTTAAATAGATTCATTGAGGTATCTGAGTAGTAAGAAGAAATTGAGGGAGATTCCCAAGCTAATCAGACCGAGTAGTCGTCATTGAGTAATTGTCCGTATGAATGATTGCCCTAGAGGCATTGTACGTAATGGAGCTTCGTCATATGCTTAGTGTCTCTGTGAAGATCAACCATAATAGTGCTTTGTACTACAATGCGTGGATTGTTGTCTGACATGGGTTTGCTGCATTGAACTAATCTGATGCTCTACACTTCGTGTTAGCATTCGCGTCTTTCTTGGCTGTACGGCCCCGTCGGATCATCTGGAAAGGCATGCGCATCGGGCACACGCTGATCTGGAGATCTTCGATGGGGCGGTGCAAGGCCCTGATAGTGAAGAAGTAAGCAGTGCGTCATGTGGAAGTGAATCGGTGAAATAAGTACTATGGCTTTAGCAAAAGAAAAATACATGCGGCAGGTTGAGTGTATACTTGTGGATCAGTATTATTAGTTGTTTAAATAGTATAATTGGTAACAGATGCTGAATAAAGAGCAGAACCTCACATCAAAATAGCATATACCCTAAAAATGTATAGACATCACTCAAGCAAGATTACTCGGTTTCACAGGAGCAAGTGCAACCTCTTCGTCTTCATCCCGTATTCCACGTCTCCGTCTATCACGAGATAAAGATGAAGCTTTCTCTTGGATCCAACGCTTGATCTTGCACCAGAGTGTAGTGGATTGCTGTACTTGAATCTCAGTAAGCTGGGCTTGGAGATTGCTGATTTCCTCGAGTGCTGCGTGAAGATCATTCTGTACTTTCTCTTTCGTTTCACAAGCGACTGATAATTCTTTCGTAGTACTGTCTAAGTCTGTCGACATGCTGGCAAGTTGAGAGGTGATGGTTTCAATCTGTTCCTGCTTGCAATTTATCTCTTTGCGCATGTCTTCATTGAAGATTCTGAATCTTTCATTGGCGCGTCGTACATTTGACAGTTCGACTGTGACCTCGTTCAGCTGTTTCTTCTTGCCATCGACCTCTTTGCGCATCTCTTCATTGGCGTCTATGAGACTGCTATT